TATGTAAGTAGTAGTATGTTGTTCAACAACAATGTCAGCAATGAATGTATCAATTTAACATATATTTTAGTGGTTGCAAATATTAAATTGAAAATTTTCATTCTTCCAGCAAACTTCTTGTGATAACTTTTACCATCACAATCAATAAAAAAAAAAAAATAGTACTATTTTAATTTAATTTAATTTAACACTTATCTTCTACCACACCCCTCCTCTTTAAATACAATTATAAATATTTATCCTTTACTATTTATAATTAGTACTAGTATTTTTTTTGCCCCCCTCTATTTCTCAAAACCTATTCAACTATATTTAATCCAATTTGTATCCATATTCAATTCTTGAATTTAATACATCCCTGTTCTTTCATGTCCCCCAATTTTTGTTCCATCTATAAATACCCCCTTCAATGAACAAAATTAAAAACACACCCACAAAAAATAAGGGGAAAAAAAAAATCAAGAATTTGTATACACAAAATCTTAGCCTTTCTTGCATGCAAAATTTGAAATTTATTTCCACTTGAAAGGTAATCACAAGCTTATATATATATACAGACAAAATCTTCTTAATTTTACTGTTCCATTGAATATTTTCTTTTAATTATTATTATTATTATCTTTTTTTTTCAGTTATAGTGAAAAAATGAACTACAAGTGTGAGAGCCCAAAACTGGAGTTGAAACTGAAATTGTCTCCTCCAAGGGACCACCGGCGGGCCCTGTCGCCAAATGGGGCGGACTCGTCAGCCGAGATATCGCCGAGAAGCTCGTGCGTCTCCTGTGAGGAAAGCCCGGCGAGCCCGGTTGCCGGTTCCATGATGCTCGTGGGCTGCCCGAGGTGCCTAATGTATGTGATGCTGTTTGAGGAGGACCCAAAGTGCCCCAAATGCAAGAGCACTGTCTTGCTTGATTTCATGCATGATAGGACAAGGAGACTATCATTCAAGAAGTGATAAGTCATTAATAGCATGCAGAAAATGTTACTAATTATGTATTGAAATCTTGATTTTGCGTAACTTGGATCTTTTTTTTTTTTTATCATCATTT